TAGGAACTAAGCTGCACAGCAGGAGGTGAATGGCAGTGGGTAATGGGGTGGGGGAGGCAATCAAAGTTTCATCTGCATTTGCAGCCTCTCCCCAGCGCTAGCATCACTTCCTAGGCTCTGCCTCAGATCAGCAGGCGTTAGGTTCTCATGGGAGCACTGGCCCCTGGTACCAAAAAGGTTGGGGACTACTGGATTAGAATATTACCAGCCAACTAGAGAAAACAAACAAACAAACAAACAAACAAACAAAATCCCCCCCAAACCATGGGCAGTATGTGATGAGCAAGTTGTAGAAGCCACAGATAATCAAATTTGATATAAGTAAGCCTAAGATAATGGTTCTCAAAATTCTGGGTCTAAGAAAACCTCTTATAATTATAGAGGACCCCAAAATGCTTTGGTTTATGTTATATCTAGCAATACATAAGTATTTGAAATTTAAACTGTGAAATGTTTAAAACGTAACAATACAAAGCACACAATCCATTAGGCATGAGACCAACGATGGCAACGCAGGTCATGCAGCTTCTAGGAAACCCCTCTGTACAGGTGAGAGGGAGAGAATGAGAGTGAAAACGGCAATCAGTGCCTTAGTATTATTACGAAAATAGCTTTGATCTTGCAGACTCCCTGAAAGAGCCTGAGGAACCCCCAGGGCTCTGGACCACACTTTGAGAAGAGCTGTAAGAAAACTTCTCAGCGTGTACTCAAGGGGACATGAACAAAGATGTCCATGACAATATTAATTGTAATAGCAAATACTTGGCAATATCCCTTAGTGGAGAACTGCAAAAACGATAAAAATATTAATTTTTTAATAAACTCATTTTCTACATATCGATCTGAATTTATCTCAAAACAATGTTAAATAAAAAAGCAATTTAGAATATATTTTTAATAAAATTTAATGACATTAAATTTAAATATGCAAAATAATAGTATTTAATATTATTTCTATAGTTCTGTGTGAAATGAAAAATCTGAAGGAAATATTAAGATACGCTATTTGCTCACTTTAGGTAGAATCTGCAAAGGCTTTTTAAATATTATCCTGCCTACTTTTTAAACATTTTCAAATGACTACTAGGCTGTTACAAAAGGTGATCATTATGTTCTAGCTTCAGTTTCATCCAGAATATAGAACAAACAGTTTAGCAAAGTATGTTCCCCACCCCACCCCCATCGGCAGCGTCAGTATCATCTGGGAGCTCATTAGACCCGCAAATAATCAGGCCCACCACAGACCTACCGAATCAGACTCTAGTGGGGGGTGTGGGGGCGACTCAAGAATCAGGGTTATAACACATCCCCCAGGAGATTCTACTAAAGGCCCAAGTCTGAGAACCATCAAGCAAGAACAGATGTGACCATTCAGCCTGCCATTTATATAAACATATCTAATTCAGGAGGAATTTGGGCAATATTGCTTATTTGCCCTTGTGGACGAAAAGACATGAGATATAAAAATGAGTTTCTCAAAGATATTTGCCAAATGTTTTAAAGGGCTCCTCCCCTCACCTTCGGGTGTTTGTGTTATCTCAATTTGCCTACATGATATTGGCTTGGATACATGAACTTTAACTTTTGATAAAAGTCCAAGTCGACCTGTGGCTTCTGATTAAATTTCTGAAATTTGGAAATCTTGGCCAGTGTAAACTTACGCTGAATACACATTAGGGGATAAATTTCTTTATAACTACCTAAATCAAGATTCTAAAAGTATGGTCCCTGGACCAGAAGCATCAGTATCACCTGTAAACTTATAGAAATGCAAATTTTTGGGCCCCATCCCAGTCCTACTGAATGAGAAACTCCAGGGACAGGTCCAGCAATCTGTGTTTTATCAAGTCTTCCAGGTGATTCTGATGGACTGTAGTTCAAGAAACACTGATCCAAATCAGTCTACTTAGAAGAGGTGCGTCCTGGTAAGCATGACATGAAGGTTCTGAAAAGAAACAGTTGAAATCCTAATCAATCAGAGGAGAGTGTTGGTTGCAATGGTGAATTTCCATTTAGAACCAGCCTGTCTGCAGCTCACTGACAAAGACTGAAGAACTGGCACTTTGCCACAACAAAAGGTACTATACATTTCTTCCATTTACCGCTTTTATGGCATAATCTCTTCTTACTTTAATTTGTTCCTTCAAAGGACAACGTGACCAAATTAGAATTGTTGGTTCTACTTAAATAACTTTGCCAAAATGGCTTTAAAACAGCACAACTCTATCTATTCGCCCCTTTCTGTCAATTCATTTATAGCTTCTTATTTCAAGGATTGTTCTGACTTCTGAGATATATGCTGCATGGTTTATATTATGTCATTCTCAAGCGACTTGTAAGATTTCTCCAGAGAAGGCATTTCCGAAGAGTGGGATCATCCCAGCTGTATGGTATATTTTGGCCCCTTGAAACTTTCACTTTCCTTTTTCTAAGAGGCTGGTAGAGTCAGCAGGATTCTTTCCGACTACAGCAACATTGTCTAAGAGCTGCCAACAGTGCTATCTGTCCTCATGGGACTTGAAGAGAGAGAGAATCAATCTAAACGAGTTTGGTGAGAGTACGAGGTACGGATTTCTTGGGTGTCCTTCAGTTAAAAGCATTTGATTGACTCTACTCTTTCCGGAGAAAATTCAGCCTAGCTGACTATTGTTTTGTCATTTTTTGTTTGTTTAAATTTTTTTTTTTTCCACAGACAATACTGTGCCTGAGGTCTCATTTGCAGAACTCCAGGGCTGGATCTATTCTTGAGATGTATTTTCCAGTCACCCCCCAGTTGGCATTTAAATGTCTGGAACAAATATTTTCATTTCCTGCAGACTGGATGCCCACACATTTGGCATCAGAGGTAGGAAGCCATAGAGTAACAGAATCATGGGGCTCAAGAGCTCAGCACTTAGGAAACCTCTGCTGTGACTCTTGGCGTGGATGATAAATTCTGTCAGAGAGGATATTGAACCAGCCCAACCAGGAGATGGAAAAATGAGCTAGAAGGTCCTCTTAAGTCCTATGTCCACTGAGAATAAGGGATTATCACTGAGATGGGAGCTTCTTCCTTCACTGATGGCCAGGACCTGCTATGATGTGACAAGTGAAAACCATGGTGAAATGATACTCTATCTTTACACAATAATAAATATGCTTTCTGACAGACAGTGTATGTCTTGGGCCTTTAGTTAGGATGTTACACGAAGACTGTAGGGTGTCTCATCAAATAATAATTGCACTCAAGGGCAAGAAAATAAGTCCTCATTTCATCTGGGCATTTTTCCCTTTACCATGATGATAAACAGCAGATGACTTTTCTGGGCACGCTGCACGTTCTATTTTCTGGGTTTTATAAAAACTTGGGATATGAGAAAAATAATGAAACCCAAAAGGAAATTCTGTCCAATCCCAACTTCTTTTTAGATGTGGCCCTCCCTACCATTTGGTCATTAATTAAGCATTAGCCTTCTCTTAGGGAGAAAATTATGTTCAATAATAGGGAATTGCCTAATATTAACCAGTAGAGTTGGTTAATTTGTCAGTTTTTATTAAATATCAATCAATAGCTGTTGAAAATGGGAGGTTCCTTTTGTCTCTAAAAAAATTTATCTACTCAAATATCCATCTTTTAAGTATTTTACATTTTAGCTGGCCTGAAAAGTTTAAAAATCCTATCAGAAAATCTAATTCACAAGATGCAGGATTAGAAGACTCCATACTGATCTTTAGGCAAAACAGATCCACAAGTTCAATACCAGAACAGAAAGACTATGCATGAATGATGGAACTGCAATTCTAATTTAGTCAGCTGAGATGATAGCTTATAAACATTTCCCATAATTTATCAGCTATGCTCCATCTTTGCATCCTTTAAAAAATTCATCTAAGAGGTAGATGGAGTAAAAGGGGTCAAATATGCGGTGACAGAAAGAAATCTAACTATGGGCGGTGAACATATAATGCAAAATATATGACTTACTGTTGAATGGTACATTTGAAACTTACTGGATTTCGTTAACCAATGTCACCATAATAAATAAATGCATCCACTTTTGTTTTGCCTGTCATTTAAATACAATATAGTCAATATTTGTGTTAGCACAGACTAAGTTATTCATGGAGCTCAGATATCTACTAATAAGAAATATAGATGAGAATCTGATCTATTGGATAATTTGATGATAAGACTTCAACAATGTTTAACTACCATAGGGAGTTTGGGGGCAGTTATTTGATGGTCTATGGAATTCTTATTCTGCAGAGTAGAAGACACCTGAAATGGCTGGTTTCTCTTTGTAGTAACTTAACGTATCTGAAATTTATTGGGTCTGATTTCTGTTTTAATGCAATTATTGTCATGAACGTTTCTTAACAAATATCTATTAGCCATATGTTTAAGGTAATTATATCCTATTCTAGGATTCAAATGATTTACTTTTATTTGAAATAGTTGTCTCTTAGACTACAAAGACAAATCTGAATACACATGTATACATACTTATATAAATATACATATGATTACATATATAAAACATGTATATGTGTACATATCTGCTTATGTATAAAAAATCATTATTAAAATATGTTAATACTAATTTTATATAAAAGAAAAGTTTAAACATTCTGGGGGCAAATGCAAAACAACAAATGCTTGTCTAATGTGATGTTTAATCAAAAGATATTACCAATATTTACCAGAAGGGGTGGATAATATTATTCAGCATAAAAATTAGTAAGCATCATCTAAAGTGAAATAAATATTTCCTACTTTGTGACTGCATTTTATATGTCTGATTTAAAAAAGATCTCACATCTAAAAACTGAGTTTCCTTTTCATGTAACTTACAGTAAGTGGTGAACATTATAATTACTGAAGAATAACTATGGCCAATCTGTGGATATTTAAAAACAAATACATGGCATAGACATTTCATAGCTTGCCCATAAAGATGATACACTTCATCAGATGAGAACATGCTTTTTAAGCGAACTTAAAGACAGAATCCTCACCGTACCTTCATGGGAGCCAGCTGGATGGGTGTGATGCACGAAGGGTCCACCATGGGCTTTGGCCTGTTGGCAGTGTCTGCTAACAGGCTGTGCCATTGCTGGGGCAGGCCGGTAAATTTCTGTTCTTGCGGATCAAACCCAGTATGAACCCTGTGTTCAAAGTTGGATGGGCCAGATATCTCAATCTTTTTCTTTTTCTTTCCAAACATGATGCAAAAATCTGGGAAATGCAAACAGAAAAGAGGCAGCTGTTTACATCTTGCCAGCAGAAGACCACAGGAAAATCATTAATTCATTCAGTTACATCTTTTCAGTTATTCCTCTATATATCAGCTTTTGAAAAAGATGAAAATTGGATTTTCAGGGTGGGTAGATTAGATAATTTCATTCAGAATTTTTGTCCTCTCTTTGCACTTGCCATATGAAGTGTAGTTCCCTGCCCCTTTGATTTTGGACTTGGCCACATGACCTGCTCTGACCAATGGACTACGGATGGAAAGACAGAGTGCCAGCTTGTGGTGAAAGTTTTTTTGGAGTCGCTGCATTTCCACCTTTCTTCTTGTGTTCCTGTCACTTGCCATGAAAATCTCTCTGGTGGATGCTGCTCCTTCAGCCTAGGTTCTGGAAGGAGAGTTGCATGAAGCAGACACAAATCCGACCTCCAAACTGCCGCCAAGTCCAACTGAGCCACAGCTAAACCACAGCCAAACCACAGCCAACTCATGAGTAATAAATAAATGTTTATAATTTAGCCACTGAGATTTTGGACTTGTTTGTTATGTGGTATTATTAAAGCAAAAGCTGGCTAGCACACAGGGAGAAGTATCTGAAAGTTCGGTGTGCATTTAAAATCTAAAACATTTGTGTGGAGAAATATAATATGTATATACATGAGAAATGGGGTTAATAATTATGTTCACAAGTAAAATTATTAATAGAATTAAACAAGCAAACATTTGTAGAACACTTTGTAGAATACCTAGCACAAGGTAGGTGCTGCAAGTATTTACTATGCCTCTGGACAAGTATACGAGAAATGACTGGCGTTGCCTGCAGGGAACTGGCAGAGAGTAGGGACGAGGCAGGGAGAAAGACCTACTTTTCAATGTATGATATATTTAGAACTTTGTACAATGTATTTTACCTGTTTTAAATAATGTAATTTACCTAGCTTAAACATATCCTGTGACCGGGATACCTCCAGAAAATATGTAAAATAGACACTGTGTACTTTATAGTATTACAAACACCTGTAAGATAACCTGGGTTTGAATCCCAGGTAGAGTACTTATTCGCTGTGATCTTGAGTAATTGCTTTTCCTTCTCTGATTTATTGTGAACAAGAAAATCATGATCATTTGGGAAATCCTGACAATACTGTCATGGGCGTATTAAATGAGGATGTTTTGGCTTGAATGTTGCCTTGCTGGGGAAGCCTTATCTCAGCACTCAGACTCGAATAGGTGGGTTATACACTTTCCTCCAGCTCTACGTACAATTTCTTCACAGCATTTACCCCACTTGCTGTAAATTAATTATGTGTAACAGTGTGCTTAGTGTCTGTTTTCCCTACTAGAATGTAAGATCCATGACAGAAGAGATAGTTCCTGCTGGTTTATTACTGTTTGACAGTGCCTGGCATAAAGAAAGGGTCAAGAAATATTTGCTGACAGATAAAATCACTGAGAACAATATATTTATTCAGTGAATAGCATCCCTGACATGTCACACCTCCCAGCTCTATATATGTTAACAACTTCTCTTGCTCTCTCCCTCCTTCCATTTCTCTCTCTTCTCTTCATCCTCCTCCATTAAAATTTTTCTTCTTTTAACCACTTATCCCTGCTTAGCAAGCAGGATCTTCCTGTTGCTTTCCAGTTTTCTCAAGCTCCTGTTGCACCCACAACTTGGATGTCTAGTCTGTTTAAGCTGCTATAACAAAATGCCAGAAAAAGGGTGCTTATAAACCACCCAGAAATTTATTCCTTTCAATTCTGGAGGCTGGAAATCCCAGATTAAGGTGCTAGCAGATTCAGTGTCTGGTGAGGACCTGTTTCCTAGATGCCATCTTAATGATGTAACCTCACATAGTGGAAGGAATAGGAGAGTTCTTCTAGGTGTCTTTAATAAGAATACCAATCCTATTCATTAGGGCTCCACCCTCATGAGCTAATCACCTCCCACAGGCCCCACTTCCACATACCATCACCTTGGGGATTAGGATTTCAACAAATGAGTTTGGGAAGAACACATTCAGATCACAGCACTGGATATATATTCTCTCAACAGCAATCAGATCCATCACAGCCTTAACTCTCCAGATTCTATCAGTCCATTCTCTCATTTATCCTGGTTGTTACTGTGGACTAATTTGGAAAACTAACATAAGGTGCTAATGAAAAACTAATGAAAGATTATAAAAGCTCAAAATGCCTTGAGGTGTTGCTTCTCCTGGAAGTCACGATTGTATATATTTTTTATTCATTAAGTACCTTATTACAGTAGATTAATAAATATTGGTCAACTAACTTTAAACATTTGAGCACACCTAAGCCAAGTATAAAGAAGTGAAGGAACCAGTTGTAGCATCCCAGTTGTCACAGGAATGATCCCTGCCATTTTAGGCCTCCCAGTATCCATGTCCTTGGGTGGGCCCCTGCCACAGTGACTCTGGACCTAGATATATAATTTTCTGTAGCCCATGGGGCAACTGAAACCATGACACAAGCATGAAATGTGCTTGCACATTGGGGCTTTCCCTCTTGCTGCTCTTAGAACCAGTAGCCAGCATGAGAATGAGGCCAGGCTATCTTGCTAAAGGATGATGGACCATGTAGCCTAGTCACCCGTCATCCCAGCCAACAACGCAGCCCTGGAAGCAGAGTCGTCTAGCTGACTAGCAGGTATCCACTAGGCAAGCCCAGTCAAACCAGCATAAGAGCCACCCAGCTGAGCCGACCTATAGAATCAGAACAAAATAGATGGCTGTTGCTTTAAGTCATTCTATTTTGGAGCAAATTGTTGCATGGAAAAAGATAACTGTTGTGGGAATGCAACTAAACCTTACATCTTCAGATGTCCAATTGTTTTTCTCTTTCTATTTTTGCTGCTTCAAAGTCACATGTAACAATGTCCAATCTGGGTAACTACTTTAGCTGTTACACAATTGTGTTAACTCAGAAGAGTCTTCATTGTGACACTCCTTTCTGGTTGGTTGAAGGCCTAAAATGTTTTCAGTGGCTAGGGAATTACATCAAATAAATAAGTGGCTCTAACTACCACCTCTCAGTATTATTTAGTGAAAATAAAAATACATTTGAAAATATAATTTGGTCATGTATTGGCTGAGTCCACTTGACATTTTAATAAAATGTATGACAAAAAAAAAAAACAAAACAAAAACGAGGTAGAAATTATTTTAGAAAAATCATTTGAGAAGACTTCTTTCATATGTATTCATACCTGAACAAGTACTGAAAATGCTAGGCCAAATATTTTTAGAATGAGCATAGAAACGTCTTACTATTCCTTTCCTGACTGTGAACTTCCCAGTGGTTGCTATGGCATTCGTGTGAGAGTATAAAAAAGAAAATATCAATGAATTAATACTCTTCTTATTTTTCAATGAGACAGTGTAGAGAGGAAACCCATAGCTGAATTAACCTACCTACACTGCATTCTGTGACACTGTGCAACTTTAACCTAAATGGCAATAAATACAGTTCCACATTCTAATACGTTTGAGTTAAAGAGTTCTGGAGGAAGCAACTTAAAAGGAAAATTTAAAAATTCCAAATCTTAAAAGCAACGTTCTTGAAAGCTCACATTTGACTAAATGCAGAGAGAGAATCTTCATGGTGTATAGTGATATTCCACTGGTGATGGTCATTATTCTGATAGCAATGAGGTATCCCACACTCAGGGGAAAGATAAAGCGATTCTGGTACTTTTTAGTAACGTGAAGCAGAGGGACACAGTATAGAAGTAAAGATGTGCTTGGTAGATGGTTTCTTCTCCCTGATATATCTATGCTTAGTCTGTACCAGGCATGGTGCTAAATGTTCAATGTAAATACTCTAACTTAAAACTCACAATAACTCTATGTTGGGGATCCCCAAGATCACTCCCAGGTTTGATTTGCTAGAACTCACAGGACTCAGAATATAGTCATATTCATGGCTGTGATTTATTATAGTCAAAGAGTACAAAACAAAATCAGAAAAGAGAAAGGGCACATGGGTTAAAGTCTGGAGGAAACCAGGTGCAGCTTCTAAGGGTCCGCTCCCAGGGGACTCACACAGGACATAATTAATGCATCCAGCACTGAACTGTGACAACACGTGAAATGATGTCCACCAAAGAAGCTCATTAGAGACTCAGTGCCTGAGGATTTTATTGAGTACTGGTCATGGAGGCATCCTCTGCCTTGTCTGTGCCAAAATTTCAGCCTCCAGAAGGAAAGCAGGGCTTCAGCATAAACCATACTGTTTGCATAAACTGTTTAGCCACAGTGAGCCTTATTCCTAATCTTTTTGTCAGCTTTTATCATTTTTCACATTTATAACATGTGATAATTTCATTATTAGACAGTGTTTTAGATTTTTAAAATTCATTTTAATTAGTTTCAACTATACAGCACATTGGTTAGACATCTATATAGTTCATAAAACGATTCCCCCAACTGCTCCCTCTCTCCCCTGGCCCTCCACCTAACCAATATATGAATGCTAACTGCATTCCCTATGCTGTGGTCCACCATCCCTGTGACCATCTATTAACTACACAGTGAGCCATTCTTATCAGGGAATGTCGGGAACTCTCCTAAAACCTAAGTTCCCAGATGCCAGCCACAGGCTAACCTCACAAATAGGTTTTTCTAAGATATACAATCTCAGGTCTGCTATGTTAACTCTTTTCTGAGCAAGAGATATTATATCTCCATTCTCTAGAAGCTCAGAGCTTCGAAACTGGCAAAGCTGACGACTCAGAATCCAGGGCACATGCTTTTCATCACTGGGCAATGCCCTGCTGCCCTGCACTTGCCTTCTCGACCGGACACATCACTCCTGCCCTTCTTAGAGAACCCTGCTCCCTTAGAAACACAGGTTGGTGAGAACGGTGAGCTCTAAGAAGATGACTATGAGATTCTTGAGGTATCTTGGGTCTCATGTCTCTCCAGAAAGACCCTTTTTATGGGGCTGAGTAGAACTCTGTCACTGA